TTGGCCCATTTTTAGAAAGGTAACCAAATGGGGTAAGTACAGTGGTACCTCCATTTTCAAATGTTCTCCATTCCCCAAGGCCGGGTTCTGAAACGTTCAAAACCCAGGGGTCAACAGCCAGCAGCAGGCCCCGGGGGCTGCGCCCAGTGGAAGCCGAGGCGTGTTCCACTTCCCGGGCCCGTCCCAAAGCCGAAACACCTGCTCCCGGGCCCGTCCCAAAGCCGAAACACCTGCTCCCGGGCCCGTCCCAAAGCCGAAACACCTGCTCCCGGGCCCGTCCCAAAGCCGAAACACCTGCTCCCGGGCCCGTCCCAAAGCCGAAACACCTGCTCCCGGGCCCGTCCCAAAGCCGAAACACCTGCTCCCGGGCCCGTCCCAAAGCCGAAACACCTGCTCCCGGGCCCGTCCCAAAGCCGAAACACCTGCTCCCGGGCCTGTCCCAAAGCCGAAACACCTGCTCCCGGGCCCGTCCACAAAAATTTATGAATAATGATGTTCAATGCATTGGTTACGTTTTCTAAAACAATGGGAAATAACCCAAATATTGAATGGGGAATTAAAAAAATTAATTATTCCATCTACTTGATGGAAGATTTTGTGGTCAATTTTTTAAACGTTATCCTTTCAATGGCTACATAGTGACACACTATGATCTTAATACTGTAGAAAAGTATGCAGCGGAAAAACATCAAAAAGAAACCCTCAAATGTAAATAGTGGTAACATCTGGCAATAGAATTGAATGATTTTATTTGCTTTTTTATTCTTTCCTATGTTTTCCAAAATTTCTGCAGGAAGTACATTTTATAACTAGAAAAAAATTATTTTTTAAAAAAACCCACCTTTTTGTAATAGGTTCATGACCCCTCTATCTATATGAAGGACAGGGGGTAGGGCTGTCTGGTCACATACCTGCCCGGTGCTCCCTACTGGCTTTCTGGTCGCTGAAATGCACACCTCAGGACATATGGATGTCCACTAACTATTTATAAAACCTCACCAGATGTGTATTCCGATATACAATACAGTCCGAGCAGAGCATCACAAAACACATCACTAAAGTATACTAAAATAAGGTTATTTACTTAAAAATGATACATTGGATGTAATCTATATATAGAACAAAGCAATTAATGGTAAACTGAATAAGGCACCTTTTAAAGCAGATGCTGTACAAAATATATTTAGTGTGTTACATATCAAATACGAACCTGTATTTTTGGTGTTTTACAACTGCATAATAAAACTGCTTAACCCTTCCTTCAATGTCTATGTACAACTTTCCTAAGTAAGCTATATAATGGTATTTTCATTTTATACAATATATACTACATTTTAGTTTTTAAATGGGGAGGGATAACAGTCACTAAAAGGGCTTAAGCAATCCCACTGAGAGCACAGTACAGAGCACAATCTAAAATTACAACACAGCCAATCCTCTGCAAAGCAGTGCTCAAAGACTCTCCTACTGGACGATCTTACTCACGGCTTCACCGGGTGCTGCCCCACATTCAATCTGGTTCTATGAATGTCAGTTGTCCGCAATTTTCACTGTGACTTTAACAGCACTGAGGCAAGGACTTTAACACCTGACCCGCGCAAATAATGTCACCACTTTTAAATAGCACAAGAGCTGCAACGATCCTTTCTAAAACTCAATTCGTATTTCTGCTGTTGAAGTTACTTTAGATATTTAGAAACATTTGAAGACATGTATGAAAAGAAATGTGACTTAATTTATAAAATATTCCCTGCAACAAATTATTGAATATCAAATTTGATCTTGTGCCAAGTCAGAGCTGCATGATTCTTTAAAAATTGTATTGCATTTTTGTTTTAAAGATAAGCAAAACATCTGGGGGGAAAGCTACTATTTTTTTGAGTAAATAATAAATTTGGCACATTCTAGGAAAATAATTTTCAGAAACGATGTTAGAAGTTTAGAAATACTTCCGGACATTGAAAACGCAACACGAATTGTTGATTGAAATACTTTTGGTGAAAATATGCCCAGGGAATTAGATCCAAATTTCGTACTTCAGAAACTTGTTCATCAGCAAGCACAGGGAACGCTTAGAATAGGCACCGAAGCCAGGCCCCATGTGCCTGTCATTCCAGAGATATTTACTGGTATAAGAAAATTCAAAAGAAGCATTTTCTTTGAGGGCTAACTTCTGTTCTATTCTGGTACCTTTACCAAAACCTTGGAGTTTTGTTTTTAATTATTTAAAGGGATGACAGACAGAAGCCACACATTTTAAAAATGCTCAATTGTGGGATCAAATAATGGTCTCTAGGGTTTTCCAAATTATTAATTATGGCACTAAATAATACTTCCTTCCTTTACTGGATGAACTTAGAAATTTAAGAGTAAAAGTAAGGAGAGAAGAAAAGTTTAATGCAACATTTTTTAGACTTTAAAATTTCAAATAGTCATCTGCTTTTTAAAAAACATGTTATTCTAGAAAATATTTATATTGAACAAGTCTCAACATTGATTTCTTGATATCACTTTTAATAGGTCAATTTCATTTAAAAAATCATTATGATGGGCTTTTAGTACCTGTGATGTTTTGCTTCCACATACTATTTTAACATTTCTAAGGATAGAGATTGCCTTTTCTTACATATTTTCTTTATTATTAGGATGAAAAATGATTTTGAAGATATACAGTTTATAAAATAAAAATAAATCAAGGTTAACCTCAGTCTAAGTAAATCAGAACTCACAAGTGTTCCTAAACTGCATGGTAATTTAGATAAAAACACCTATACACTCCACTGTTAAGAGACGGAGGACACTCTGAAAGAGCACATTACTGGGTGCTGCCAATAGGCAGGTTTACTTATCCCGATGAACACTTCAAAGCTAAATTATCTTAGATGAAAATTATCAAATTTAGTCAAAACTGTTAAAGCAAATTTTAAATTTGTGGAATTTGATGTAGACAAATATATTAAGAGTTTCACCCTTAGGAGCCAGTCAAATTTTTGGCAATGAGTGGATTCATGCTCTGACGTCCCCCTTTAAAAGTGTTTTGATTATGTTGTAATATAATCACATTTATTTTATGCTATATTCAAAGAAAACTGTCTTGCTTTCTGCGCCTGTAAGTTTTTTTTTCTTTCAGACTAAGACGTTAATATTTAAAGGGCATCACAGAAGTGTGAAAGGTTTAAGTGAACAGAAGTATTCCTTGGAATGAAGAGGCGTCCGTCGCATCTGCAGTGTGCTCAGAGTGACGGCCACACGGCGCAGACAGAGAGCTTCGGGCCGTGACTTCACCGTCTTCACAGGTATGAAACAGAGATCATAAAACCAAACATCTCGAATGGTTTAAATGTCCAAACATCTGTATTAGCTCTGAAACAGAAACTTCTAATTAGAGGATCCTTTCACAACGGAGAGCTGAGATGACAGTACCCTTAATGAAAGTCTGTACCTGAAACGAACAAACTCTTAGGTTTAACATGCTGTTCTGACTGTATCAGTTCTAAAAATTCATATGTGGTTCTACTTTATAACATTTTCTTCTGATGAGCTTTTATTTTCCCCCTCAAGGATGAGGCGTGAGGTACACGTGAGCTGTCTCTACAGCAGTATGAATGTACGTACATATATAAAATACAGTTGTAAAAGGAGCAGGGATTTTGCAAATAAAGCATATTACACACAAAATATAAATAACTTCCCTTTTAAAAGTTACTGAGAATAAAGAATAGAGAACATGGTTACAGGCACTTAACGTCGCTATCAATGCAGTGATTAGTACCTCACTTCAGCAAGAAGTGTTTTCTTTACAGGGTCGTGGCACCAAAGGTCCGACTCTGGACAGGATGCTTTCTATGACAAAAATAATAATTACAAAAAAAAGATGGTGGTGGGAGGAAAACAGTAGAAATTTCCAGGCACTTTAAACTTTTTTGGCCTTTATATAACCTTTTATGTTAAAAAATAAAGTTGGAGGAGAAGCTAGCTCTTTCAAGGTAAATGGCTTTTATGTGATTGGCGAATCTTGGTCAGATCATGCATTTTTAAAGCACAAAACCAACAAGCCACTAAATCTTCCTGCATGTTCATAAATTATATTTTCTTCTAATTCAATGGCAGCAGAGAAATCTTGGTGTGCATGCGTGGGTACACACACCATTATCAAGGCCTGGCAAACTTTTCTCATAGACTACGCAATATCCCAAACAGACCACAATCCCTAGGCTGTTTACGAAGGTTGAGCACAGATTTCATTTTCTCAGGTAGAGGCATGTGCANAGTTTACGAAGGTTGAGCACAAACAGATTTCATTTTCTCAGGTAGAGGCATGTGCATCACTTCTCTGTCTCTNGTTTACGAAGGTTGAGCACAGATTTCATTTTCTCAGGTAGAGGCATGTGCATCACTTCTCTGTCTCTCTGAATTCACTGACCTCAGGCTTTCACAGAAAGCACTGTGTGAGCAGGTAATTCAGCACCCAGAGTTTGGCCAGAGACTGACTTCATCAGGATTGACGTCTCGATGTAGTCCATAAAAACCCAATTTAAAAAGGCATCAGAAACCACATTTAAAGTAAAGTTGTCCGTATATTAAGAATGACGTTTTAGAAGTTCCCAGCTTATATTCTGCAGAGCACGGAAAGGTTTAACATTAGCAGCCTGTGGAGGTGTAGTGAGGACAGAGCCTGAGAACCAAGTTAGCATCCTTACTCTACTCTAACTCCACCGCTCCTTGGGTGAACAGTCTTGCAGTCTAGAATTTCTCCTCAGGATTGCTGAACTGTCAGATCTTTACGTCTTGGGATTCAACCATCTTAGCAAGTGTCTTCTTGATCCTCAGAGCCGTGAGTCTGGAGGCTGGGTTGTGGGCCCAGCATTCTGACATTAGCTTCAAAACCGCTCGAAGACACTGAAAAGTAAACAGAATGCAGTGAGCAGGTGAACACCTTTGGCAACACACACCGTCACTCCCTCAGGGCTGAGTTCTACCTACTTCATCACTGTTCCATCGATTAGACACAACTGGCCGCAAACGCTTGACACACACAACCTCACGCATATCTTCATAGGATGGATCACTGGGCACCATGTTGTAATATGGCAGCTGGTGCTCCTCTACTATCCCTGTAGTGAGAAAACAGAGTGGGCACAAAAATGGTAGCTAGACAGTATACCAATCTACCCAGCATCTCTTACTCAACTGTGGAACCAAATCTGACACCTACATAACGAAGAAAAAACTATACAGTGGACGGGTCACTTTTAATAGTAAATGTATGTTGCTCTTTTTGTATGTCTAATTATTTCCCTTATGTCCATCAGGATCCCCATCACAGCTGTGGACTTACCAATATTCCTAAAAAAAAGCAAGGGGAAACACTCACCCTAAAATTTAATCAAATTATTTATTTCTATAATTCCTACTAATACATGTAGCAGAAAGACAGCATGATTTGTAGAAAAGAGAAACCCCAGCCAGCCTGAGACTGTCATTCTTAGAAAGGCCCGTGGGGCTGGCTGCGCTGGGGTCTGAAAACGTGCCTGCAGACAGCTCCCTAAACGATAAGGATGCTCACGGGGCCCAGGCTATCCGTGCACAGCAGGGGTCGTGCTGAACACTGCTCTCGCTGAGAGTTTGGAATTTTGGTACATGCTACGCAGAGGATGCTCGCGTGACCAGCCGCCGTAACCTTGGAAAACTAAGCCTCTAACGACTTCGTGGCCGACACTTCACACACGTCATGGGCTGGAGGGATCACGTGTACCCTGTGCGATGTCCTTGGGAGGGGACTTTGGAAGCTTGTGTCCCATCTCCTCTGAACTCTGCCCTGGTGCCTTTCCCTTGGCTGATTTAGCTTTGTACCCGTTCACTACAATAGCTCTCAGCAGTAAAGACAGCTCTATGCTGAGTCCTAGCGAAATCACAGAGCCTGGGAGTGGTCCAGGGAATCCCTGACTTCTAAATTATATAACAGGCGCGGTTACTTTCTGAATCACGAGGATGCAACCCAGCCGGAAGCACCCCCGGACCCCCACCTCCTGTGACACAACGACGCGCCACCTCCCAGATGATCAGGCCGAAGCTGTAGATGTCGGCCATCACGTAGGGCTGGAAGTGCTGCTTGCCCAGGCTCTCCTCCAGCACCTCCGGGGCCATGTACCGCTTGGTGCCCACCCTGGTGTTCAAGGGGACGTCCACTTCGTTTGTGTCACTGAAACAGGAGACAGGTGATGTCATGCTTGATGGTTAAGAACAAACAGTTTTTCTTCCACTTTTGTTGTATTTTATAAAAGTCAGTCTCTTTCTCCCCTCACCTCCCACAAAAAATAATAAAAATCTGTCTGTCTTTCTGCCTATCTATCTATCTATCTATCTATCTATCTATCTATCATCCATCCATCCATCCATCCATCCATCCATCCATCCATCCATCCATCCATCTAAAATTCCACATTCTTTTTATCCGAAATCATTGGGGCCAAATGTATTTTTAAATTTAGCATCTTTCAGATTTAAAAAAAGTAACATACCCTTTAAGCATATGCTACCTATTATAGAACTTCCTTCCCAGAAGAGTCTAGAGTAGGGCCCTGCACCAAACTCACCACCACATCTGCACTGAACACTCAGTATGAACACTGCTATCAAGCTGGACAAAGACAACAGATGCCTTGCATGAATTCAGGTCAGCTTTTGTCACCAAACAAGTTTGGTGTCTTTCAAAGAAAAAGGACAATAGTGAATGTAAGAAACGTGGCAGATAGTTATGTCCCAGAATGAGTGAATGGGAAGTAAGGGGAGAGGAATCATTTGCCTTCTCCATTCTCACGTGACACAGGGTTACACTTTCTTCCTTATGGGTGAACCGAATCAGTTCCAATCTAAGCAGTGTCTACACAATCACACTGGCAGTAATCACACCGGCAGTAATCACAGTGATAAGTGATGTTTACTGAGGTTTTCAGCTGGTGGAGTAAATCTTAGAGCTGGAAGACATGGATGCTTTGTGGCTTAGGTCCGCAGTTCTGGAAACTACTCCAGAGCAGAGATTAATTATTCTGTACTTTCTTACATAGCATCTGATGAATATTTGAGCCAATTAATACTACACTGATTAAAAACAAATAAGATTTTAACACTGGAACAACCAGGGAAGACTATTTAATTTTTTAATGTTTGTTTTATTATGGACTAGTACTTTTATCTTAAGGCCTGAAATCAGTTCTGAAATGGGAAATGGCTGCTGTACTCCAAAGTTATAACAACATTAAAATGATTTCAACAGTTTCCTAAAAATGTTATAATTCTGTTTAAAACTATTAACAACATATCAAGTGGCGATGGAGAAATGGCATGTTTATATCACTTGCGGGAGTCTAAGCTGATGTGTGCTCTCTAGGGGATACTGTGCAGTGCACCTTGATTTATACATACAGACCCTTCGTCTAGCCCCCTCTAAGGAACCCATCAGGACAAAGTACTTGCATAAGTGCTCAAGGATTAATATATATCCATAAAATACAAAGTTCATTAAAGCACTTTTTAGATAGAGACAAACCATAGGCAACTGGAATGCTGTGAGTCGGGTAATAAAATAAATTACAGTACATCGTATTCTGGAAACTGGCACTGACGCTATTAAAGAGAATGAAGTAGACCTACATAAACAGAGGTCGGAGGATGTCTCAGACAATAAAAAACAGGCAGTAAAAAATTATGTTGAGGAGAATGTAATTTTTGTAAACAAAACAAAACCCACCAACCAGAGCAATACCCCAATCATATTCTTATACTACACAAGCACAACACATTCCTGGAATTCTACTGTCCTAAATACTAGTATGCAAACCTCTTTTGGAGATTAACATAATTTCAAACAGTAGACAAAGAGCCACCTGCCTGTTGAATTTAACAGCGAGGCCCAGGTCAGCAATACAACAGCTTCCATTCTTCTTAATGAGGATGTTTTTGCTCTTTAGGTCTCGATGAGCAATTGCAGGCTTTCCCTGGGTGCCATAAATCTCTGTGTGGAGATGACACAGACCACAGGCAGCTGAGTATGCCAGCTTGAGCAGGGCCCTGGTGTCCAGTGTCGCACACTTCAGGAAGTCGTAGAGAGACCCGTTCTCATGGTAATCGGTGATCAGATAGAGCTGAGTCCAGGAGCCAGTGCCTTTAATGTCTGCTGCTATGAAACCTGGGCAGTGGATGAGTTTCAAGGTCAGTTATCAGAGGTGGCTGTGAGGGGTAAAGGCTCCCTCAGGATCTTGAGGGTAACTCAGGCATGATGCACAGACAATGAGCAGGAAATCTGCCTAACATGTTTCTTGAATGTGTTCCCAAGATTTTTATTTTGCCATTTACACATATAATTCTATATTTCTGCAATAAATTTAAAATAAGATTAATGATTATCCTGAAAATGATAATAGTATGACTAAGAAAATCACATATCATGTAATAACCCAGGGGAATGTTATCATCTACATGACTTTCCTAGCATGAAAAACCACAAAGAAGAAACGTGGAAAACTCTTGATTTCAAATTGAAAAGTGGACCCATTAAAATTAAGTTAAATTATGTTCAACTACCTAGCCAATGCCACGTATCTGTCAAGCGCTCTCACATCTGCTGGCTCGCTGATGAGCAGGTCCATAATACTGGCCCCCTTTCCTTCTCCCTTCTCCAGAAAAAGTGCTGAGTTGAACAGTGACCCCTGCCCCCCAAATTCATGTCTCCCTGGTACCTGTAATTATTTGGAGATGTAACCACATTTGGATGAGGTCATACTAGATTAGGGTGGGTGGTAATTCAATGACTGGTATCCTTTTTAAGAGGCAGATTTGCACACAGACACATAGGAGAAGCCATACGATGATAGAGGCAGGATAGGAGTGTTGTCTCCAAATTGAGGAGCACCATGGGTTGCTGGCAATCACGAGAAGCCAGAAGAAGCAAGGAAGGGCTGTCTCTTTAGAGCCTTCAGGAAGCATGGCCCTGCTGACACCTCGATTTTAAACTTCACGCCTCCAAAACTCAGAGAGAATAAATTTCTGTTCATTTAAGCCACCCATTTTGTGGTTATTTATTATGATAACCTTAGGCAACTAATATAAGTGTCTACTATACTCTTGGCAATGGACTATGCACTGTCTAAATTGGAGGGAAGGGAAATAGTAGCTGAAAAGAAAAGCTGGGCCCTAGCCAGTGTGGCTCAATGGTTGAGCACCAGCCCTTGGGCTGAAGGGTCCCGGGTTCAATTCCAGCCAAGGGCACATACCTTGGTTTCAGGCTCGATCCCCGGCCCCGGTCGGGGCCCACGCAGGAGGCAACCAATCAATGTCTCTCTCATGTTGATGTCTGTGTCTCTCTCTCTCCCTTCCACTCTCTCTGAAAAAACATCCTCAGATAAAGATTTAAAAAAAAAAAAAAAGTTGGGAAAGCTAAATGAGCTTGTGCACCATTGACCAGATCATGCCCAAATTATTCTATTGTGTAAATGGGGTTGTGGGTGGGGAGGGAGAAACCTACTAAGCATAGAACATTAAGCTATGTCATGTGGTGGTGGCTTAGCCCAGTGCACATACCTGAATGTTTTCACAGCCCAGGAAGCAGACTTCCACCTGCACCCCACTAACCTGGTCAGAACGTGGAACGGACTGAAATCGAATGTGTACCCACCAAGTATATTTTCATGGCGCATCAGCACAGTTTGGTAGATTTCCGTTTCTCGAAACCAGCTAGCTTCTTCAGTGGTAAAAAACACCTTGACTGCCACCTTCTCGCCACGCCATTTACCCATCCACACTTCTCCGTATCGACCTTTACCAACTTGCCGAACCATCTGAATCTGCTTGGCAATAGTTCGCTGAACCTTCATTAAAAAAAAAATGTTTTGAGTGTGGTCTGACAGTTCATCCCATCAAAAAAGATGGTTTATATAGCCAACTCAATGTTAAAAATTAAAATGTATTTAAAAGATGAAACAATATACAACATATTCTGAAATAACAAATTTGCAAAAAATGCAAAGTAGTTCCCCTCGCTGTACATACACACCTTTTGGTCATCTCCTCCACAGACTCCGGGCTTGGCCACATGACTTGCTTTGGGTAATGGAACAACCGAGGAAGTGCCACAAGTGCCCCTGAGAAATGCTGAGCACTAGAGCACGCCCGCTCCTGCTGTTTGGAGCTCTGGGAGCAGTGAACTTGCCATGTTACCACTGGCCACATGCACCAACTACACCTCGCTCTAGCTGAACACAGCCAGAGGAAAACTGCCAGCAGACCCACAGGGTGATGAGGAATAATGAATGTTTGTTGCTTCAAGCCATGAAGCTTTGGGGGGTATTAGGCAGTGAAATCTAAATGACAGCTAAGTCTTAGCTCAGCCCATCGGATCCCGCATGGTCTGGTCCTGCTCACTCTCGAGCCTCACCAATCACTATAATCACACTATCCTCACCCCTTCCATTTCAATTTTTATTTATATTTTCCCTTTAACGGCCACCGTTTATGTATGTATTTTTCCTACTGAATTTACTGGGGTGACATTGGTTCATAAAATTATACAGGTTTCAGGTGCACAGTTCTACAGCCCAGCACCTGTACACTGTACTGTGTGTTCACCACCCACGGCAACTCTCCGTCCATCACCACTGACCCCGTGCCCCCTCCCACCCCCCCGGCAGTCACCACACTGCTCTCCGTGTCCATGAGTCTCTTTTTTTCCTTTGCTTATTCCCTGCACTCTCCTCTCCCAGCACCACACCCCTGACAACTGCCAGTCCGTTCTCTGTACCCATGAGTCTGCCTCCGCTCTTAGTTTATTTCATTTCAACTTTTAGAATCAACTCAAGCTCACTCCCATCTCAGTCTGTGTGTGCACAGCTTCCTTTAAGTGCTGCTTCTCCTTTGTTTAGCACCTCACAGCACAGACTCCTCAGCTGCTGCACTTATCGCAATTATAATTTTGTAATTTATGTATGTATTTGAGTTTTATCCCACCCTGCTCACAGGACATAGGGATTTACGTAGGACGATACCTGGAATACAGCAAGTGCTTTCATTAATATTTCCTGAATGTAAGTTGTACACTAATTGCTACCTTTAATGGTCATTCTAAATTAAACAGAACACAAAGGTCCAGGGTAATTGTACTTAAAATGGGCCAGATTTTGTGCACGTCTAAACTAACTTACTTTATGTATCATTTTATTACAGAATCTCCTGTAATTTTTTCAGACAAGATTACTGATGTATAACTTACATACAATAAAATTCGCTCTCCGAGAACTGTGTCTGACAGATGTATAGTCATGGAACCCCCAACACTGCAACTGAGATGCAGAACATATCCGCCACCCAAAACGCTCCTTTCTCTTTAAAGTCAACCCCCTCCCCCCACGCCGCATCCCTGACATCGCCGATCCGCTCTCCACCCTGCAGTCCCGCTTTGCTGGAACATCATGTAAATGAAAACGTAGGGTGCGTGCAGCCTTTTGAGCCTCAGTCCCTTCCCTTGGCACCCAGTGCTTTTGGGCCCGTCTGCTGGTGCCTCGTGGGCCGTGCTTTGTTGCTATTGACTGATGAGCTGTTCTCCTCTGAGTGTACCACTTATTCCCATTTACCAACTGCTGTGCCTCTGGGTTGTTTATAATTTCTATCTGTTATGAGGAAAGCTGCCACAGACATTCACATTCAGTTCTGGACATGTCTGTATAGCTCTTCGGCAAATACTCAGCAGAACCGCCTCACTGTATAGAAAGTGTGTGCTTAAGTTTTCAGTCAGCTGTCAAACTATTTCCCCAAGGGGCTGTACCACTTTGCATTTCCACCAGCAGTGTCTGCGTCTGCCAGCGGGCAGCCTCTCTCAGCCACACCGGCGGGTGTGCAGCGCCATCTTCCTGTGCTCGTCTGCATGTCCCGTGATGCCGAGTCTCTCTCCATATGCCTGATCAGCCATTCCCAGATCTTCTCTGGGAAAGTGCCTATTCAACTCTTTTGTCCATTAAAAAAACCTGAATTGTCTTATTACTGAGTTGTAAAAGTTCTTTATACATACTGCAACACAAATTTGTGACTTGTTTTTTGTTTTCTTCCCAGTGTCTTCTAAATAAGTCTTAAATTTTGAGAAAGCCCAATTTATAATTTTAAAAAATGATTCATGACTTTTGACTTCCTAAGAAATCTGTGCTCAACCCAAGGTCACAACGATTTTCTAAAACATTTTCTTGTAAAGGTTTTATACTTTAACTTCTTCATTTAGGTCTATGATCCATTTCAAGGTAATTTTGTATATGGAGTAGGTAAGGCTGAGATTCACTTTTTGGCAAATGGATGCTCAATTTTTCCTGTTGTACCATATTTTGCAGACTGTCTTCCCCCCCCGAACCACTCTGGCACCCAAACCACTTGATCATGTATGTACACACCCACTTCCTGAAGCTCTCTTCTGCCCCACTGAAATACCGAATTATCCTATATCAGCACCACAATGTCCAGAAATCAGGGAATGAATCCTCTTTTTCAAAATTGTTTTGGCTCTTTGGGTTCTTTGTATTTCCATATTAAATGTCAGAACCAGCTCATCAATTTGTTCAAAGGCTTGCTCTGATCTTGATTTGCACTGAATTAAAACTGTAAGTCAATTTTAGGAAAACTGGTATCTTAATACTGAGTCTTGTGGCTCACAAACAGGATACACACCTCCACTTATTTAGGGCTCTGTTCATTTGTTTTGACACTGTTTTCTAATTTTCAATGTACAGGTCTTACATAATTTTGGTAAGCTTATTGCAAAATATTCAACTTTTTGATGCTATTTCTAGTGATACAGCTCTTAAAGTTTTAATTCTTAATTGCTTTTTGCCAGTGTAATAAACTCAGTAATTTTTGTACACTGACCCTGGATTCTGCAACCCTGATAAACCCGCTTACAGGCTGCCGTAGCTTCATGGTATCATCCTTGAAATTTTTTACACAATCATGTTGTCTGCATACAAAGACCATTTTACTTTACCTTTCCAATTCAATTACAGAAATTATTTAATTCACTGAAGTATTAAAGATGAATGTATGCCCAGCCAGGCGTGGCTCAGCAGTTGAGCATCGACCTAGGATCCAGGAGATCTCGGTTTGATTCCTGGTCAGGGCATATGCCCAGGCTGCGGGCTCGATCCCCAGTCACGGGCTTGCGGGAGGCAGCCCATCAGTGATGACTCTCTCTCTCATCATTGATGTTTCTATCTCTCTCTCTCCTTCTCCCTTCCTCTCCCTGAAATCAATAAAGATATTAAAAAATAAAAAATTAAAAAAATGTATGCATTTAAACAAATGCAATTAAACAATATCTATCTAAATATCTGGTGTTTATCTTAAGGGTCTTCTCGACCCTAACCCTGAGTATTTCCTTACATATAACCCTTTTACAGTTACTCAAAACTCCCTTTATAATTATGTTTCTGAGTTGTGTTTTTGGTGACACAGCACTCTATGAGGAAGCACCCTCTCTGTAAAGGTGTGTGGGAGGAACGTCCTTTTGATTTCAGAATCAGAATATAGTGGTACCTCGGTTTTCAAATGTGATCCGTTCTGGAAGACGGTTCGAGTTCTGAAACCTTCAAAAACTGAGGGATCAACAGCCTGACAGCTGGGCCTCAGGATCTTGAGCTCAGCAGAAGCCCTGTGGCATGTTCGACTTCCGAGGCATGTTTGAAAACCGAAGCACTGACTTTTGGGTTTACGGCGTTCATAAACCGAAACGTTTGTCAACGGAGACGTTCAAAAACCGAGGTACCACTGTAGTACTACTGCTCCCAGCAACCAGCTGAACCTGACAGATGGAAGGATCACACATCTGACTCCCTTTCAAAATGGCTGTTAATGCAAAGCACTTACACAGCATCTCACAACCACACTTCTTTCATAATCTTACCTGCCTGCTCTATTTTTCTTGTCTCATCTTTCTTATTTTTGACTAATTTCATCTTGCATCACTGCAGCCACCTTTCTGTGTAGGAACATTCCCTAATCTGTAGAAATCATGCTGTCGAGCATCCTGTGAGGACGCTCCTCCATCAAGAGCACGATGCTGCACGGGGTTTTATCTTACCAACAGAGGCAGCCCAGACCCACTGCCGGAGCTCTGTGACTGGTCAATAAGGTCCTTCAACGATTCTCCCACAGGAATAAACGCCTCATCCTGCTCCAGGTCACGATTGTAACGACGTCTGCTTGACATGCTTTTGCAATAATGTCTTTTCAAAAAGCAGAAAATAATCTACATTAACATCCTAAAACTATAAAATTTAAAGGCAAGAAAACCCTTAGGTTGTCAATAGCATTATCCTTCAGGCAGGATCATATCAAAATTAGTTTTAGCACAGGATAATACACCCTCTGCTAAAATAATCTCCAGAAACAGAGTTGTGAGGTGAAGTTCTCTGTGTCATTCTCACATGGAAAGAAGTCCACAGTGTGCTGACAAGTGAAAAAAGGCAAATAAAAAGAGCAGCATGTAAAGTGTGATCTATCTATAATAAAACTTAAATTTTATATATATATATAAATTATTTATATATATATATGTCTAAAAAGATCAGAAAGGATATATAGCAAGTTGTAAATAAGTTTTTCTGGGGATGTAGGAATATAAACTTTCTACTTTACACAAGTATTTTCATTTGAATTTATAAGCATATGTTTTTGTATTAAAATGAACAATAAATATATTTCCATTTTTTCAAAAGGAAAAAGTGCATGGATAAGAAATCAAACAAGTTCTCTTAATTCATTGATATTTTTGAAGGCTTCTCTTTTTAAAATTTCGAATTATGAAATATTTCAAACACACAGGAAGGCAGAGATTGACACTCGTGTACACCATTTAAATTTAATGAATAGCAACATTATGCTGTCGTTATTTGATATATTGAAAATAAATAAACATTAGAAGTATTTGAAGCCCAGTCATTTCCCTGATAATTCGATTTCCCTCCTTTACTCCTAACAAACACTATCCTAGAAGGGATCATACCCTTCCAATATATGTGTTTATACTTTTACCATAACTGTATATACTTATCAACAACACTGTTTCTCTGGACACAAATTTACATAAACAGTATGTTGTAGTAATAATTCACACCTTGCTTTTTAATGAAGAAGAAAAAAACAGCTACTTATGTTTTACATATTTATTCATGTTGAACGTGTAAAACACAATAGCTCATTTTTGTTGATGCTGAGTACGTCAGGCATTGTTCTGAGGCTCTCTTCATCTCCCGTTTTACAGATGAGTGAACCTGGCCCAGAGGCTCATCATTTGCCAAGTCAACCAGCTGGCCAAGTGGAGAAGCTGGGATCCAAACCCAGAGGCCCAATCAGAAATCCTCGCCCTTAGTTATCAGTATTCTGTCAAGGAAATTATTTAAATGGTACCTAGTGATTCTGTTATTAATTTGCTACAACTTACCCTGATGCCATATTAGTTATTTCCAAAAGTTTGTTAATATAAACAGGGCTGTAAAAATCATTCTTGGCCCTGGTCAGTCTGGCTCAGGGCACACATCTCAGTTGCAGGCTCCATCCCAGCCCTGGTCACGCGTGAGTGGGAGGCAACCAATCAATGTGTCTCTCTCACAGTGATGGTGTTTCTTCTCTCTCTCCCCGGCCCCCGCCTCTCTCCTTCCCTCTCTCCCTTCCACTCTCTCTGAAAACCAATGGAAAAAAATATATCCTTGGGTGAGGATTAAAACCCACCCCCCCCACCCCATTCTTGTGTCTGTCTCTTGTGCAGATGCATAAACGTTTCTTGAAGGTGTACATACTTTCAATGCTGACATCCACCAAATTGCTCTCCAAAGTGAAACAACTTATACTTGCACCTGAAGTGCAGTCTCCCAGCGTCCATGTCCCCGCATCCCAGCCCACACCGGGATAGCCTGACATCTGTCGCCCCAATGGGCATGAACAGTGACGTGCTCCACGTGACGACGAGACGGAGAGCTCTGCTGTTCACAGCTCTGTTTTCTCTGGAGCCGCCCGTCCGTGTTGCTGATCATTCAACTGGGGTGGCCCATCTTTTTCTGATTGATTCGTAGGATTCTTTACATAATCTTGTACTAAATCTTTGGTAATTATGTGTTACAACAGTCTTCTCTTGGTCTTTCCTGTCATGTCATTCCATTTATGGTGTTTTATGTCAGTTTTTAATTTTAATGTCAAATTAAATTCATCAAACTTTCCTCTTTTTTGATATATGCTTTTGCATCCTGTTTAAGACAACCTTCCCAACCCTAATGCCATAAATACATTTTCAAAGTTTAAAAATGAATATTCTCTCACTTAGTCCTTTAATCCATTCGGAACTTATAGTACAGAACAGAAATTAGAGCATAAATAAAATTATTTACCACGTGAACAGTCCAATATATTTAACCATTTTAATAATTTTTTACTTAGAACTTATTATAGGTAACTGACTCAAATGGTTTAAAATTCAAAAGGCACAAGAGGGTGCACAGTGAGAAAGCGTCCTCAGCCTATCCCTAAGCCCTCAGCTTCATTTCCTAGAAGGAGTCTAGAATGAGCACTAGTTCCAGTTTCTTGGGTAATCTTCTGGAGAACATTATGTATATTCAAACAAGACACACACCAGTGGCCACCTCCCCTGCTCTTTTTCCTTCCAGACTGCAGCCACCATATGCCCTGCTCTGCCCCCTGCCCCCTTACTTTGCTTTACCTCTGGGGGTCACTCCACATCTGCGCATAAATGGCCTGATCTCTTTAATGGCTAAACAGTATTTCATTGTGTGCCTGTTAACCATTCCCTACTTGGTAACATTTAGATTGTTCATAGTCTTACTCTGCACAAGGCTGAAATGAAAGACATTTCTGGCATGGCTGTACCCCACCCCCTGGGGCACAGGCCAAGATCCATTCCTTCTGGGGAAAGAGCAGAAGCCAATCCCTCTGCCCCAGGGATGTGTAGGAAACAGTTTCCTTGCCCCCACCAGACGAAGATCCGCTGATGCTGAGGAAGAGTCAAAACTCTAAGAAAGCTTTGTCCCTCAGGTCTAGCAACCCAGGAGCCTACCCTAAGGACTAGACATTCCCTCCTCCACTTTCCACCCGTGCCCACCATGACGAACATGCAACAACAGGCTCCCTCTGTGAGAGAGCAAAGGATGGAGAGAGACCCTTCTGAGGTGCAGGTGTGCAGTGAAAGCTGAGGGGTTAGCAGACACACAGAGAAAAGATCACACCAACCCCACCCCAAGTACAACATAACATCAGATCATCACCAAAGGAGTTTGAAACCTGCGATGCACTGAAGGCTCAGACCCAAACACTAAACAAAGCCCAAGCCCTATTCAACTCTTAAGCAGCCTGACTCACAGCCCTGTCACACTAACAGTTTAAGAGAAGAGGCATGCCTGTTTTAGGGGAGTATGTGTGTGTCTGTGTGTGTATTTTAAATCTCAGTCTTTATTTTAAACATGATGTACAACATTCCATCAAAAGTTAAGACACACTTAAAAAGCAAGGAAAAGCAGCCTATTCTCAAGAGGTAAGGCAATCAATAGAACCAGTGTGAGATGACTCATGTTGGAACAATCAGACAGGTTCCTTAAAATAACTATAATTAAAATGACAGAGCACCTAGCAGAAAAGGGGGACAACCCTTTTCAAAAGATGGATGGAGTCAAATGGAACTGCCAGAAATAAAACAGAATATTGCCCTGCTAGTGTTGCTCAATGGTTGAGCATTGACCTAGGATCCAGGAGATTGAGGTTCGATTCCAGTCCGGGCACATGCAGGGTTGTGGGCTTGATCCCCAGCAGGGGGCATGCAGGAGGCAGCCGATCAACAATTCTTATCATTGATGTTTTATCTCTCTCTCCCTCTCACTTCCTCTCTCTGAAATTAATAAAGATATATATTTTTAAAAATCAAAAAACAGACTATCACAGATGAGAATTCCTGCAACAGGCTCATCAGCAGAGTGGACACAATGGAGGAAAATAAAAACCACCTGAAATAAAAAAGCAAAGAGGGAAAGGAATGAGAAAAATTCAGTATAGAATAAAAGAGCTGTGGGATAGTATTAAGTAATCTATAAAATATGTGTAGTCAGAGTCTCAAGAGGAAAGAGAGATAAAGGGACAGAAAGTATGTGAAGAGACAACAGACAGTAATTTTGCAAAAGAAATACACCAAATGAAAACTTGGACCCAAAACTTGGAACTAAACAAATAAATGGAAAGTGCTGAAAATGATAAAAATAAACATCAACATAAAGGACGTTTTTTCTTATTTTTATCACTTTAAAGTTGATTGGCAACTCCTTTTTTAGGTACATAATAACTGTTTATTATCTTTTTTATTATATGAAACATTACTTGGCAATATAAATATATATATACACTTTAATATATCTTTATTGATTTCAGAGAGAGGAAAGGAGAGGGAGAGAGAGAGAAACGCCAATGATGAGAGAGTCATTGATCGAGTCCGCAACCCAGGCATGTGCCTTGACTGGAAATCGAACCCTGATCGCCTGGATCCCAGGTCGACGCTCAACCGCTGAGCCACGCCCGGCCGGGTACTTGGCAATATTTTTTGCTGCAATTACTTTAAAAATCATGCATTTTTAATACTGAACTGAATGGGACTGAGGTGTCCCCTAATGGGAGTGAGAATGATGGGCTGATTAGAAAGCTGCAAGTGGGCTTTGCATCCAATAAGTTAATCTGTGATACTGTTTCCAAGCACAGATTCTGGGTCATGGGGAGGTTAATGAATATCAACAAAATTTAATGAGTATTTACTGTGTGCCAAGGATGGAGGACACACCAATTCACCATGTTGATTCTTTTTTTAAGTATGTTTGTATTGATTTTTTTAGAGGGAGAGGGAGGGAAGGAGGGAGGGAGGAGGAGAGGGAGAGAGAGAAACATAGATCAATTGCCTCCCATACATATGTACCTGGACCAACCGGGGACCGAATCTGCAACCTGGGCATGTGCCTGGACTGGAATTAAACCAGTGTCCTCGGTGCATGGGATGACACTCAGCCAACTGAGCCACACTGGCCAGGGCCACTATGTTCATTCTTAATACTGAACAGAAAAGTGGTAATTTATCAGCTAGCCATCATCAATATCAATGAACAAGTAACCTCTGCTGTCTATCACTGAGGTTCCTGTCCAATGGGAAAGGCAGACTTTAGGTAGATGATTATAAACAAGTAAACAAATGATTGCAAATGAAAAAAAATGTTAGGTAGAAGTAGTAAATGCTGTAGGTGTGGATCATGGGCTCTAAACAGTTTTTTAAGGGTCAAAGAAATCACTTACAAAAAAGGATAGAAAGTCCACGTTGAAGAAAGCACAAAGAGCTGCCAGAATGAATAGAAACAATAGCTAATCCAGAATGAAAGGAGGTGATGGCGAGAGAGGAGGTTTTGGAGAAGGTATTGATCCTGAGGACTACGTTATCATGAATGTAAATCAGATTCAAAAGAATAAGTTTGCAAGCTTTTCTAGATTGGAATAAAACAGTCATCAGAAAAAAAGTGAAACAAAATATTAATGAAATACAGAAAAGAGACTAATCTCAATATGTAGAAATATATATCCCTCTTTAACTTCAATCTTACCCTTTTATGGCTTTCTATAGATAGAAATTTGTGTCTTGTTAAAATTGAGCTCAATGTAAATGATCCATTAAATTACTAATCCTGTAAATCTGCTCCATAATTGTTCTTCCAGTAAATAAAACTAGTACATAAAATTCAAAAGCTAAATACACTGGGCAGTCATGAGAGTCTCTGTAATAGTTAGTTTAAAACTATAAAAGGAGCCTAAAGGAACAGCTTACGGTGTCTGACTGGATTTTACGAGCTCTCTGGGTCACTCACGTGAGTGTCCATGGCTTGATTCTGAGATGAGTGTTCTTTTCAGTTCATCTTAAAAGGGGTCCCTTGGTCTCCATGTCCAGTGCTCTTTATTCTTTTGTGTGGCTTCATATTTCCACCTGGCATAATTTTGTTTCTACTTGAATTTCCTTTAATGTTTCTTGAGCAGATCTGCTGATGATGAATTCTTTCAAGCTTTTGTGTGTCTGACAGTCTTTATTTCACCTTCATTTTTGAAAAGTATTTTCCCTAAGCATAGAATTCTAGATTCATGACTCTCCTTCTGAGTACCTGGGAGACCGTGCCTGCCACGCTCTTGCTCGCCACACTCTTGTTTGGACCGTTTCCCATGGAGGTATTAGTCCTCTGTACATAATCCGGCTGCATTTAAATTTTTCTCTTTATCACCAGCTTTGAACAATTTGATTATGATGTGCCTTGGTGTCATTTTCTTCATGTTTCTTGTACTAAGAGTTTGCTGAGATTTTTGGATCTATGGGTTTATAGTTTTCACCAAATTTGGAAAAACTTGGTCATTATTTCTAAAAATATTTTTTTTTCTGTCCCCTTCACTTTTGGGGACCTCCAATTATATATACATTAGGCTGTTTGAGGTGCCACACCTCAACGGTGCTCAATTCATTTTTTACATTCTTTTTTTAATGTTTGTTAGTTTCTATTGCTGTCTTCATGCTCACTGCCATTAATCTCACTCAGTATATAATTCATCTCAGATACTACAGATTTCATTTCCTGAAGTTGGGTGTTTATAAAATATCTTTCATGTCTCTATTTAACTTCTGAACATATTAAAATAGAGTTATAACTGTTTTAATGCCCTTGTCTGCTACTTCTAACATTTCTATCAGTTCTGGGTCAGTGGTATTCACTGCTTCATTTCTTTCCCATTCTGGATTCTATTTTCCCACTTTTTACATACCTGGCAATCTTTGACTGAATGGCAGACACTGTGAATTTTACTTTGTTGGGTGCTGGATATTTCTGTAATCCTATACATACTCAAGCTTTGAGAATGTAGCTATCTGAAAAAGATCTGACCCTTTTGGGTTGTTTTTGAGGTAAGACAGAGCCATATTTAGTGTAGGGCTAAACTGTTCCCCAATACTCAGGCCAGACCCTTCTGAGCACTATAACCAGTGTCCTGTGAATGAGGCTTTCACGTCTCATAGCTGGTGGGAACAGAACCTATTCCCAGCCTCACGTAGTTTCCTCATTTGTACTCGCTGATCAAGACTCAGCTGAATATTCGACAGAACCTCCTGCAGAACTCCAGGTTCTTTCTCCGTGAGGCTCTCTCCTCCCTAGCACTCTGTCCTACAAACTATGGCTGCTATGCTCTCCCCAACCCTCAGCTCACTCCTCAATTCAGATTCTGCTGTGTCCTCTGGGTTCCTCAGTGTCCTGCAGTCATAGACTCTCTTCAGGCAGTAAGCTGGGCAACCAGAAGCCTCACCTCACTTGTTTCCTGTTTCTCAGGGATCAATGTCCTTTATTGCCTGAGTGGCAGCGGTTAGTGTGTGAGTGGTCTCATGACTGCAGGCCGCCCTGCAAGGTATTTGCCTGGGCCAATTCATGGGAACCTAATGTCAGCTGGTTAGGGTTTTTCTCTTGGGTTGAATGGATTTCCCTGGGAAGAATCTTCCTATCTGTTGTCTCGAGGGACAAGTGTGTTGCCAGGGTTCTCGGAGGGCTGAGGGACCCACCAATAGTACATGATGTTCACTTGACCTCGTTTCCCCTATAATACCTCACCCTCAATAACAGGGTACCACAGCTGAGAACCTTATTTTTGTTCTTTCCAGAGAACGCACTTCTAGCCTTTTGTTAGAGGGATGGTGGGGACATCACGTGATTATTCAGAGCAGGAGTGAGGATCTCAATGTCTGTGGTGTTTGGCATCCAAAATGGCCTGCGAAGATCCTCACGGCTTGGCATGCATGTCCTTGCTTACCTCCCTTCTATAGTGCACAGGGCTGGCCCGAGGGACCATGAGAGAACATGGGAGAAGTGAGGACGGGACTTCTGAATCTAAACCAGCGATTTCAGCCTTCTCATCAAGGCACATAAACTAATTACTATAATTATGTGGCACACCAAAAAATATATTACATTTTTTGCTGATCTGAAAAAAATTAGATATAATTTGGATTCATTCACACCAGATGGCTATTATTGTGCTGGCTGTTGTCACGTTTTAATTTGACAGCTTAAGGGGAAGAAGTCAGTGTCCCCTGACTAAATAGCCGGGTCTGGCAGGTTTTAAACATTCTTGTGGCGCCGGGTAAAATCACTGGTCTATGTCATGAACAGCACTACAGTGTCCACCTCAGCCTCTTAGATCTCTCACTCTGGAGGGAAGCCAGGCTTCATGCTGTGAGGACATGAGCTGTTCTGGGAGAGGCTCACAGGAGAGAAACTAAGGTCACCTGCCAACTTAGAAGCCTTGGAGGTGAGCTACCCTGGAAGGTGATCTACCAGCTCATCAAGCCCTCAGGTGATCCTGAGCTGACCAGTCAAGTCACTCCTGAACCCTGACCACAGGAACAGCGAGGGGCAGTAACTGCTGTCCTGAGCACCACATTTAGGAGCAATTTCTTAATGCAGCGTTAGATAACCAGCACAGACTCTTTCTGAAAGGAGACTCTTAGGCAATCTTCTTGGTTTTACTGCCACTCTCAGCTTCACTTCTAGAAGTAACTGGTACTACCAATTCCTGACTTTCTCGGGAATTTTTGCCTATCAATTTCTAGCCTAGGATTCCGATTTTTTAGGTCTGTAGTGACTTAATATAAATCCACATTTCATAGGTCACAACATTTTTGTTGTTACCTCCTCTGTTCCTTGTCCTAGTTGGACAAAGAAGTTAAAAACTACTGCTGCTTGAGTCGAGGGAGCAAAAGTAAAAAAGTATGCCTAAGCTCCTCTTTATCTCAAAGACCTATTTCGCAAACGTTTGAATCTTTGCCAGAATAATAGGTGAAAAACAGTACCTCAGTATAATTTTAATTTACATTTTTCATATTATGAGCATTCTTTAGTCTTTTTGCTTTTTAATTTCAGAGAGAGGAAGGGAGAGGGAAAGAGATAGAGAGAGAACATCGATTTGTCATTCCACTCATTTATGCATTCATTGATTGATTCTTGCATGCGCCCTGACCAGAGATTGCACCCGCAACCTTGGTGTATCTGGACGACACTCTAACCAACTGAACTCCCTGGCCAGGGCCTAAGGGTTTTATTGTTTGTTTCTACGTTTTGTGTAAGACTCATGAAAGTCTTCCACCCTCTGAGATTATTTTTAAAAATTCCTCCATGGTTTGTTCTAGTACTTGAATCATTTCATTTTGTATATATCTAGCTCCAATCTGGTTAAAATTTGTTTCCGTGTGGGGACTTCATTCAACTTCATTTCTCCCCCCCATATAGTTACCTACTACAAAATCTACTTATTAATCCATCTTTTCCTCAGTGACCTGAAATGTTACCTTTATAATACAATAAATTCCTGTGTATACTTGTGTCTATTTATGGGTTTAACAACCTGTTCCACTAACCTTTCTGCATTTATATGCCAGTATGATAATGCTTTATTTTGGAAATTTATGCCTTCCTCTTGCTACTCTTCTCTTTTAAATCATGACTGAATACAAACAATTCTTAAGCCTCAAATAACTAAAGAATGGTAATATCATTGGTTTCTTGGAACAGGGTTTAAATATTCAGATATAAGAAAGTTGAATAGCCCATAAATAAGAAAATCTTAAGTACTCATGAACATGACTGAAGTATACAGTTGTGTCTAATTAAACCATTGGCAGTAAGATCCTCTTTTCCCTTAAGAAAAAATTATAATATAGTTTATTTAAGAGACATAAACAGAGAAATGGTTTATCAGGAAATGGTTTCCGGATTTCATTTAGCAGTCAAAGGTTCCTGCCCACTGGTTTTAAGAACTAGTTATATATACTATTTAACAAAATCTTTTCATCAAAATAATTATCTTCTTACTTGTAACAAAAGCAGCTGGAGAAGATGATCATGGCGATTATGCAGATAGCCATAGAGATGAGCACAACCAGCCATCGAATGCTGCCATCCAAAAAGGGACCTGACAAGGAAGCAAAAAATGAAGTAAACACAGTCTTTCTACTACATCTTAGTAAAAGAAAAAAATAAGTTGTAGTGTTCAATTCTAGAGAATTCACTTATTGTTAAAAGGAGAGAAAATATTTTACTGTAAATCATCACACTTTCCTTTGCTAACTTACCTATAACAACAGGGGGCAGTGTAGGCTGTAAATACTGGTTACATAAATTGGTCCGACAACATTCTATGGTCCGGCGAAGCTGGGCTTTCGGTGAATCCTAGAGGAAGAGCGAGGATCGATTTAGATGCGATCTGACGGACTAAACTGATCATGAAAAACTTTAAATATTCATAAAAACACAATTTCTAATTCAGTGAATGGAAAGTATCTGCAAATTTTATGTGTAAAAAAAGATATAAAAATTAGAATTTGTGCTACATAGTTTATAGCTGTGAAGACTGTAAAATGTTTTTTCTTAAAGAGAACCTATATATGTGGATGGGATGTTAGAACTAGACCATAACTTAACTATAGACAAACGAAAGGTTTTAAGTATTTTCCGCCAAACTTTGGTATTCTTAATTTATCACTATTTGTTTTTAGTTAAAAAAAAAGAAAAAGGAAAGTCGTGAGATATTTTTCTAAAAAACATGGGTAAAACATTTACTGCAATGATAAACTAGTAAATTAGAAGGGTAAGTATGCTCTCATAGTGGTGCTGAGACTTCGATGGATCAATGAGATCAAACTACAGTGGAGGGTGTCCCAGGCCACGGACAGCACAGGGAGGGAAGGTGGGGCAGCAGGTGGAAGACACTGCAGCTTCTGCACAGAACAACTACGCTGAAACCGTGAGCTGCCATGGAAGCATGCTGAAGCCCGTGTGGTGCAGCAAAGGGCAAAATATAAAAACAACACTCCTGAGAGTTCAAGAGACCACCAACCAGGTGTGAGTGTATCCTTAATAGGTCAGAACACACGCACAGAGAAAAGACTGTAGTCATGGGAACAGATATCAACAACTGTGTGTGAAGTTTTATCTGACTAACACTATACCTGACAAGTCCTTCACCTGAATGCTGACACTTCAGTACTACCTGGGAGAACTGCCATTCTGGACCAAAATATTAACACAAAGGAATTGTTTGTCATTATAAAAGTAGCAAGAACAGAAGCCTGGCCACTTATTAATTTTGTGACCACAAGCAATAAACTTCCTTTTCTCTGGTCTTTGGTTTCCTCTGCTGTAAAATGGAGGGTAAAAAAACCCTGAAAGGGCAGCTGGTAAACGAGTTACCATAAACCAAGCACCAGCACATTAAATAAAAACAGTAAATATTCAAAACGTTAATTCTTCTTCCCTTAGTAAACTTGGCATGGATCCCAGTCAAGAGTCTAGAAAAAGCCAAAAAAGCCTGTAAACCGCTGGAAGACCGAATGTGGTTTCACTGGGAACAAGGAGCATCTGCTCCACCTCACATCCTTCCTGCACCAGTTACCTGGGCAGGCAGAAGTCAGGCGTGTCTGCAGCATGCAGCTGGGTGGCCACCTTTCCCACTCCCTTCTTCCAACCAAGCCCATTTGTATCTACAGATTTATGTGGGCAATACAAATCCTGTGGAAAAAAGTCACTGACATTCATGAAATAGGAGATCCAGGAAGCCTAGATGGGAGGGGGTAGGGATTGGGGTGTAAAAAAGGAACTGAAGCAAAATGATAAGGAATGGCACAGCGGCTTCTGAGAAAAAAATTCACCCTACAGGAAAAAAAAGAGTAAACAAGATTTACCAACAGAGACTGGGGGGTGGGAGGGAAAATCAAGGTCTGGGCAAAGCACGGTGACTCTCACTGGAAACTGTCTGGAACTACCTGGCAGTATGTGTGGAAGCACTGGGAGAAAGGCTCAGGTGAAATGAAAATAACCATTCTCCCCAGGGAAGTGCTAGGGAAACAGAGAGGGACAGTTAGCGGGACACGAGTTAGGTAAGTGACGTGAAAACTTCGTGCCTGTGTGACCCCTGAATGAGTTCTGAAAAAGAGCGCATCCCTCCTTCACATAGTTTCAGGCTGACACATCTCCCATAATAATTATGCCCTAGCAATATATTTTTGATACATAATTCTCCGTATCAAAAATAAATATATATAAATACAGATTAATAGATTTTATTTCCTGTGACATGTCTTTAAGTCTTAAAAAAGTTATCCTGGTTTGATTTATCATCACAATAATAGATTCAAAATAATATATCTATAGATTATAATCTTTATTAAAATACTACCATTAAAAGAAAAAATTATTGGAAAGGTATGTGATGGATGAAATTAGTTCTTAAATTCATGGATAAATATTACCTATTGCTAGAATGAGAGGGTTTGGCATTAATTTTATCCTGGTTTTTCTATTTTCCGTTTTTGGGGGTCAGTACTAAGATACTCTGTTCACATAAACAAGAAGATGATAATGGAGGAGTCTGTTCTACCACTATGTGATGGTCTTTAAAGACCTTCTAGTCATATGCTGAACTCCCATAATGATCCTATTACCAAAAATTATTTTTTATAATCAAGCCATTTGGTTGAAAGCAAAAAACTGAAAACCACCTGACGTGCAGATTTTATATTCCCACATTCCCCAGTGATACTGAAACTTCAAATTACAACTCTGTTTGGTAACTTGAGGTTTTACATTCCAGGCCTATGATCTGTGAGCTATGAGAAGGGTGACTGAAAGGGAGGAAGGAAAAGAGAAACTGCTTGAGGCTCTGTTCTGAGGCAGAGCAGTGTTAAGCCACAGGACCTATGGAAGTTTAGGATCTGTAAACTGATTTCCTTAAAAGTATCCATGTGTCTCTGTGATCCTTGTGTAATGTTGTCTGTGTGCCTTCAGGAATATGTGTAATCCACTTAATGACTGCTCAGTTACATCATCAATATGGCAAAAGCAACATTTATTAAGCTCTTAACTATGTGCCAACTGTGCTAAACTCTACATATATGCTCTCTCATCTGATCCTTACAAAAGCTCTGTTATGGACGAGAAAACAAGAATAAAACTCCTTGCCCAAAGTTTTACAGCAAGTAAGAGGCAGCATATGGATTTGAACAGATTGTCAAGCTTAACAACTAACTTACATTAGTGAATTCAGTTTGGGACACACCTAGTTCAGAGGGCCTGCCAGACATACTGGTTGCTACTGCTGAGCTCAGTGCTCTAACCATAGCTTTCTTCAATACTTTTTAAGTGATTAAAAATGTATAGTACGTGTGATTGATAAATATGCAATTGGCATAAAAATGGACTGGAAGGAAAAACAAGTTAGCATGCCCCGAAATTTTGGCAAATTACAACAAAGGACTAATTCTAATAAGATCAAGTTTAACATAGAGAAGTATGTCACAAATGCATAACAAAACTCATTCCATTCCCATCTACTTATTTGTGTCAGGAAACCAACAGCACCAATAATGAATGAAAGAGACATGGCTCAGCAGTAGCATGTGTGAAAGACGTGGGCATTTCAGCGAACAGAAAGCTCAGCGTTTCAAGAATATGGGGTGACAATCACACAGCTAACATGAGATTGGGCTGTATTAGAAAAAGGGAAAGGAGTTACTTGTTCTCCGCTCCTTTTCCTGTTAGACCAATTCTGACTATTACACTGAAAAACTGGAGGGTAAGTAGCTCTAAAGCTGATCATATGAGGAACAGCTGAAATCACTGTGAACTATTATTATTTTCATGGGGAAAGATGAGAGTGTATTGGGAGGAAAGCAGGACCAAAAAAAACCTTTCTTCCTATAATAAAAGCCTATCCTGTTAAAGAGGGATTAGATTTATTTTCTATGGTCCAAAGGGGCAGGAAGGAAGACAGATTTCTAGTCACCAGGAGGAAGAGCTTTCTCAGGATCAGGTTGTCATCTTACAGATGAAATAGGTGGTCTTGGATGGTGATGAGCCTGTGTCACTAGAGGTGTAGCACATAGAAAATGGATGGGATGCAATGTGTGTGTGCTGGGGGTGGGGTGGGGATTCCAAACGTTAGACGAGAGGTTGAAACATATAACCTTCAAGGTTTCTGTCAATCCTGAGAATTTCTAAATAATTTGAGTAACTTTCTAAGTAAACCAAGGCTTAAAGTTGTGCATAAACAGTTCTACCTGGAGCCGCTTTTCAAAACCACTGGGAGGACCCTCTGGGGCACAATCACTATACAGACTTTTGAGGAGACGAAGTTTATGACCCAGAGCACCACCAGGATGTTCATCAGCTATCACCAGCCCTCTGGCTCCTCTGCTGCTGCTGCTAAAATAACTCCACTGGGATCACCTTACAGGGACTTGCAGTTTCCAAGCTGCCTCAGAGTGACACAAAGGTCAGTGCCCATCACCTTAAAGTCTTTTCAATTTTATAATCCACAAATAAGTGTGAAAATATCATTTTTTGCAGCCATAGCAATTTAGAAAGAGGATGAGTCACTGATTACTTAAACTTTTTTAAGTAATCTGGAACTTCAGTTACCATAACCACATTACTTGAAGAGCTAAGCTTACCAAATATATTTGCTTAAAGAACATAAAACAATGTACAGACCAGGCACACCTCTCCTTGGGGAAGTCAATGCTTTTCATGTGGCCCCTCCCTTCTTTATTTCATAGGCCCCAAACTAGATCTTACCTTGCACTGAAAGTCAGATCCTTCATATTTCATACATCCTGAAGCTAATGTGGTTTCTCCCTGGTCATCTTCTTCTATGATGGCAAAACAGTGCCCATTAGTTCTAAATGAAAAAAGACAAAAAAACCTCTAAGAAACGAAAAAAACAAAAACACCCAAAAAACAAAACCTAACTTAATATCAGCAAGTATTAATTAAAACGAGTTTGAATGTGACCAGGTACTGATGGCCTTTAGTGCCTTGTTTAAGTTAGAATTGCACTCACATGGGATTTATTGGCAAACCACATGGGTTTAAGGCAAATGAAAGTTGTCACATCTGAACTAAAACCTAATGGTCCAACAAGAGCCCTATGTCAGGTGGAAAGGATTCCTATTAAACAAGTCCTCCAAATATGAATCATTAGGTAACTTCTCTGCTAATCAGTCATGTGAGTACAAAGGGCTGATTTATAAAATTTTAAAAAGTAAATCATCTTAATTTTTAAAAATACACTTAAAAATAACTTTGTCTTTTTTTATCCATATAATTTTCAATGTTCACATACTGTACACAATAATAGCTAAAAACAAACTTTCCTGGGAACATGAGAACAAAGCATATTTGAGAATAGACTGAGAATCTGAGAGGTGCTTTTTTTAAAAAAAAAAATAAAAAAATCTTTATTGATTTCAGAGAGGAAGGGAAAGGGGCAGAGAGAGAGAGAGAAACATCAATGATGAGAGTCACTGATTGGCTGCCTCCTGCACACCCCCGACTGGGGATTGAGCCTGCAACCCAGGCATGTGCCCTGACTGGGAATCAAACCTGGATCTCCTGGATCCTGGGCCGATGCTCAACCAGTGAGCTATGCCCGGCCGGGCCTGAGAGCCACTTTTTACTGAACATAAAAAAAGGGAGAAATTTTTAATAGCTGGATTTTCAAGAAATTTACATAAATGTATTTATCTGTAATGAAAATGTATCATTTTAATATTAGTATGCTGGAGTTTTCCCCTAATATATTCATTTAGACTTTAATGAGTAGAAAAAACGAACAGCTTTTTATGTGCTCCTATTCCTTGTTCCTGTCAGGAAGTGTACTGCTTCTACATAAAAGAATCTTGCAGAATTTTCATTTTCTATAAGGAGAAAATGTTAAACATGGGGTGAAATTCTGATCAAATCGATGATTCGGTTTTACTCTGGGTTACTGAGCCACTAACAAATACCCCTCACACATCAGGCAGGCACTACGGACAAGAAGTTTGGCAAGAAGCCACCTGGTGACAGTGGGGAGCAGTCCCCTGTGACACAGATCACTGAGTCTGTCACAACGTCAACCACCACCAGAGGACACAAGTTTAAGATGTGAGGAACCATTACAGAATTTCAAGATTTTACATGTAAACATGCTTTATATCTGGTCACATTTAAAAAAGCAGACAATTACCAGATAAAGTGCAAAATAAAAGGGAGACAATTAATTGACTGACGAGACTGAGCTGTTCAGGGAATTCTTTTTTGGCTAGTAAACCAATTTTTAAAATATGGAATAGAATTAATGGTCATATATAATGTGTTGAATAGCTAACATAAAATTAAGTGGGAAACTAAAATGGTTATATAAATCAGATTTGGATTCGGGAGTCTGCTTGTAAGAAGATACCACAAAAATTAAATATCACAGTATCATTCTTACATATCTGTAAAATATTTCAGCCAATTTAAAATTACATGGTTTTGGTGGAATTTTCATGTTTTCTTTTTGGTAATCTCAAAGTTTTCTATGAGTATCATTAACTCTATGATAAAAAGATCATTAAATAAACTAAAAATGTTAGACCAATGTCACATTCTTCTTATCTCTTTTAAAAAGCTGTATTACAATATTACTCTGAGAAAGTAACCATCAATCAATAGTAATAAATGTTCCTATATACAGAACAAAAAGCTTTTGGCTCTTTGGAAGACAAGATATAAAGTAAAAGGAAAAAAACCTTAGACAATGTAAGCAATTCTTAAAATAGCATTAAATGTCACCCTATTCTCCTAACTGTAAGAAAGGCTGCATAAAATACTCACATGCACGTGTTGTTAATGGCGTCGTCGGGGCAGTGTCCTGAGCAATAGCACTTTAAAAAGGGCAAGGTATCTTCCGGTGCTAGGGTTACTCCACTTTCTGACTTTTTCTGGTCGGAGTCTGATTTCATCCCAGTGCCGTGGAGCATACTGTCTAGATTCTGTCCTGTAATTATATAGGAAATTTAAGCCATTTCTGAAAAGCTAATTCCCCGATTTTAGTTTTCAATGAGGAAAAATTTCTAAGCTTTTTTATCATAGTAATTGTAGGTACCATGTGTCTTTAATTAAAAATAAATTTCATACACACAAGTAACAGACATTAATAACCTACTTACTATACATAGAATTACTGTTTCAGGCATTGTAGGATATATGGAGATAACTACAGCACACTTTTTGCACTAGCGAAAGACAAACCAGAGTAGCACAAGGTAGAATATGGTCATAAGTTTAAGAAAGGTACATGGAAGCAATTTTAGGGAAGGCTGAGATTGCTTCCAATCCTTAAAAAACAAATTGTTTCTTTTTTTAGACTCTTTGGTTCAAAACCTGTGACTAGCTCAAAAACTAAGTCCTTTATTTGTGCCTTTACGTGGAAGTGGAGGTATTAAGCATCTTGCTTTGGAACTGAATTGCTTAAGTAAGGGAATTGTGAGAACACAGGGACTAATCATATTATCTGGTGCCCTTTATCTCAAGGTCATTGGTTCAAATCCAGACTCTGCTGCCAGAAACGGAAGGTTCCTCTCACATTAGAGTCTAGTAGCTTCAAATGACAGATACTGTCATTTTTGGTACTGAATCTTTCAGGCTGAAAGCAGGGCAGAACTAAAGCAATGTTTTAGTATTTCTCTCTTCCCTATGAATCACCTGAAATCCACTAGGGTTGATCTCAAGGGAATAAAATGTAGAGCCAAACAGGTATGAAATATTATAAGACTTGGATATGCATTTTATTATAAATGTTAAACAAGTGGTTCAAGGCTTAGTAACTTAGACCTTACTTTAAATTTAGCCATACTAGTGAGATTAACTATTTATTATTTATTTATTTATTTATTTCCCTCACCGAGGATATTTTCTCCATTGCTTTTTTTAAGAGACAGTGGAAGGGGGGCCGTGGGGGGG